TTCCTGGGACTTGAACTGTATTTCATTGATTTGAATCCAGAAATACAGGTTGACCCATCCTGAGACTTTCTTTCTTGAATTGATCAATTGAAAGAACACTCTCTTTTCTATTATCATTACTATTTTACAAATGTTTTGATAATCAAATTGTGTTTAGTTCAAACCATTTTCAAATGTTGAAGTGAACTACTCATTTTAAATCAACTGTGAAACAGTATTAGTGATTTTTTTCCTCATTCAAAGTAGAAATCAGGTTAATGATGCATTGTCTGATTTTCTGTCTTCAATGAGCAAATTGTGAAGTTGGTCAAAGGTCAAGTTTCGGTCAACTGCAAGTTTACTGAAAAAGAAATGTCATGTTTAACTTTTTCAGGCAGATATGAGAGAGTTGACTCCACGAAGTCTGGAATCTTCATAGCAATCTTCTGTCTGTTCTTAAACAAACTTAATCTTTTTCCTTGACTTTTAATAACCTCTTACATCACAAAACACACCTCTGTTTGGTCCATCGACCAATCAGAAAGTTCTCAAATGAACCGGAAGTGACCTCTTTTAAAAGGTGCAACACTTCCTAGTTCTGGGGAGAAGAACGCTGAGAGAATGCTGTGAGTTAGTTCCGAGAGCAGCAGAGTTCAGAATGCTGGAATTCAGAATGCTGGAGGAAAAGCAACTAAGCTGAACGAGAGAAGTTCAGAGGAATTATGAAATGTCTGTTCTGGGATGATCTCACGACTCCGAACGGTTCCCTACTATCCTTACGGAGACGCTGGAGAGCGTTTGAAGGCAACTCTACACCGAAGTCGGAATTATCTCTGCCAAGGTAAAGAGTCGATCTTCAACCGCAAAGTGTACCTTTGGTTAAGCTGGGTCCAGAAGGAGCGTGTTGTTCTGGTTATAACAGACAAATTCCCTCACCCATCTCTCTCAAGATAAACTTCATTTTCCATCTTAAAAATTCTTCTATCCTGCTAGAAATCATTCCAGATATTTTCAGAAATGTCTGTTGTGAAGCTTGAAGTGAGACAACCATCGCCGTATGGTTTTCTAATTGTAAACTCGCTAATTAATTATGTTGTTATTTTCAATCTTGCCAAATTAATGTAAATGTTTGATGTTAAACTTTTGATTCTGTTAATAAATGACCGATTCATTTGATGGGTCAAAGAAAATTAACGCCTCACGTTACATTTATTAAATTCAATGCACGATATTATTCAGTCCAGAAAAAGGAATGAATCCGTTTAATTTATCAATATATCTCAGTATATGTTCATCTACATCTGGTGGCCCGTACGCTTCATGAATGGACTGTATTCGTGTAACAATTGAATTATCATGTTGGCATGAAATGAAAAGTGCAGAGAGCTGCTGTGTGAAACGCAGCGTTTTTGCAGCTGAGATGCTCAGAGAAAATACAGCAATGCTTGCGGTTGTGATGTTTTGAAAGCTGGGCTTTGAGAGTCAATATGTCTGTTTAAAAGCTGAATTTGTACGTCTGTTGTGTGTAACTGAAGCTGGGTTTGTGTTAAAACGCTTTATTCTGTTTAAACTGTGACCCAGACGTTGGTTCTGGTCCGGCTCGGTTCTGATTCGGTCCGAACGAGTCGTGTTTAAAGAAAGAGACGTTTTTAAGAACGGAGCACCGTCTCCGTGAGCTTTGGAGCTTATTTGTTACATTTTTAACAGAAAATAGTGCATTTTGAAAGTTAATGGACAGAAAGTTGACCGGACTTGTTCAGGCTAATGCTAACAAAGATAGCTGGAAAAACGATCCGTCATTGGCTGAAAACCGCTGTGTGGTACGCCCTGATTCGCTGAGAAATGAGTGACGTGTCTGCGTCACTTCCTCTGAGTCAGCGATATAAAACCCACCCCCGCTGTTTGTCTCTGTGATTGGTTGAGAAGTCCAGAAAAATGAATGAATCCGTTTAATTTATGAATATATCTCAGTATATGTTCATCTACATATGTTGTCCACATGTCAATCATCTTTCAGACTTTAAACTGTTTGAAAATGACCATTGACCCTTTTCAGACAGTTTCTTCCATGAGATCATTGCTGATGTCGTTCTATCTTGGTGTTGTGTTAACACACACCTGTATGCTCCAGAGCAGCAAAAACTGCTGCTGATAAGTTGATCATGGATTCAAGGAATTTTTTTATTGTCATACCAATTCACATTTGCATGTTTATGGTATGAAATTGGGACTCAGGTCCCAGATCAAGAAGCCTAACAATTAACAAATAAATACATACAAAAGAGTATACACACACACACACACACACATGTTTGTTTTGCTATCTTTGTGGGGCCTTTGCATTGACTTCCATTCATTTTTCATTCATTTCTATAGCCTAACCATGACCTTTATCCATAACCTAACCATTACCAGTACATACCTAACCCTAAACCTAACACATCCTCAATTCACACCTTAGTCCTAAACCTAGCCCCTAACCCACCAACGGGACTTCTTCTTATGGGGCCCGGGCTTTGGGCCCCATAAGGAGCAGTTGGTCCTCACAATGTAGTATAAGTTGGAAAAATGGGCCTCACAAAGTAGCATAAACAAGGACACACACACACAC